TAAACTAGCATGTTATTTGATTATTTATATAACAGGCTGCAAAAAACAGATATGATGGTGCAATGTACTGTTTTGCATTTAATTGTTGAGTGTTGCTGGTGAGGGGTTGTAATAACCATGTCAAGCTAAGTACTAAAATGTACGAGCTCATGAATGTTTCACGTGTCTACGAAGTGACATCACGACCGTGGCGCTCTGTCAACTAAAGCCGCACTTTTGAGGAAGCCAGGTTTGTTAAAAAGTGATTAATAAGAATGGCAACTGTGTCAGGCTATCAGCACCAAAGCGTGTCGTCATTTAGGTCTAATAAACTGCCTTTGAAAAGTAATCCGCTGTTAGTCACCACTAAACTCTGGCAACAGGTGCCGTAGAATACAATGTCTGCATAATTAGGTCATTTTATTCACGCCCTTAATCAGCGATTGAACATTATTTCAGGATGCCGTTGTGTCGTAAAAATCGGTAGCAAGAAGCAACAGTTTGACGGCTCTGCGTCAGAGTCTGGAAAATTAATCAAGTCAGCCATTACGCCGCAACACGTGCCGGGAACAATTTAAAAATAAAAGCGTAGGTATGGATGTCCATATATTATTGGTTGTGTAAGGTATATTTTAAAGTTATACATTAACTGTTGTTGTTAGGGTGCCTAGGTACTGTCTCGGCAATGATAAACATCTCAACAAGATGACATTTTTTTATGTCAGATTAACAACCGTGTATAATACTCCGCTCCGGATTTAAGATCATTTTTCGGGGAAAATGAAATGGCTTTTAAGCACGTGATTTCATCGTATATATCTTTCATTTACTGACAGATCCAATTTCTACATTTGCACAGTAAAGGAAGAGACTTTAAATAAAATCTGAAATGGCCCTGAACAGTTGAGGGTTCAGTGCCTTGCTCAAAGGCATCTTAACAGATTTCAGAGGCAGACATGAATCTATTAGTTTCCATTTTTTGTTCCGTGATGGAAATTGAACCTTTGCTCCCCAAGCCAAATCCGTCGCGATTTGAGTGACTGCTTCCTCTATGCTGCTCGGCAGCTTAAGGTACAACTGTGTTTGTGGCTAAAGGTGTTGGCCTAATTATTCTGAAGTCACGAATGACCAATAGATAAAGTTTCCCATCTAATAATGAGGTGTATTCATAATGTGTAGATAGCTTTGTTTTGTGCTTCCATCTGGACTAAAGATTGCATTTTACATTTCATCTCTTACTTCACAACAAACTGTGATCTGCTGCAGCTTCAGCTGACTGGAAATGCCACTCTTCAACACACACCCACAGGGGAAACAATCTCTGCTGGAACGGTCCAAAATACCATTCAAAATCAACAACCGCACACACACACACACACACACACACACACACACACACACACACACACACACACACACACACACACACACACACACACACACACCAGTGCTCTGAAAGCTGCTTGCTCACGTCTCGTTTCAATTCATCCCCAGACAGAAAAGCTTGTTTTCAGCCATGGATAACCACTAGGCTTGTTGGCAGTTGATTGTACGAATGATCACACATTCATGTTGTATTCAATGTTTTTTTTTTTTAATCTGCTGTTCAACATGTAAATATCCCTATTTCTCCTCTTAATACAAGTAGGTGGAGTTTCCAGGATGTTCAGATTTTCCACAGCAAAGAGAAGTGAGAGGTTTGGCACCAACGGTGTTATTCTGGTTCTTATTCTTTTACTCATATGTTTTAATCTTGGGCCTTCACTCACATCCAATCGAGGGTGTCTAAATAGGGTGCAAAATGTAATTGTGTACGAAGGGCACAAGCACAGGTGGTAGGTGAGCTGTTTGCAAAACTCAAAATTAGCACTTCCACATTGCAGTTTGCGAGCCAAACTTTGCATTTCACTAAAACACATCAAAACTGACAAAAAAAGCATACATACTTCAATTTAATCCCCCCAAAATGGCCATTTCAATTAAAATATTATTTTTCTCTGATCAAAAAGAAAAGTGAAAGTAGGAATTTTTAAAAAAGTGAAAAAAGATTTTTAAAAAAAGGATAAATTACTAGAAACAGGATATAGAATATGATATTCTTAAAACAAGACAAAAATGAAATGTCCTTTCCTTTCCAGATTCTGAGACTGGCTATTTTTTGACCAGCAACATAGCGGAATATAATTCACTCAACAACAGACCGAAAGGGGGAATAGGGAGGCATTATCAAGTGGCACTCAGTATTCCATACAGTATCACTGAAAGGACAACAGTTTGTGCAGCATTTTGTTTTGGCTCTGATCAGAAGGTCAACAGTGAGGACTCTGACAAATGCACTCAGAGATTGTTCTGGGGCAAAAAGACTGATTTAAAAAGGCAGCGAATGAAAATAGCCTTTTCTTCCTTTCTGCTCATCCAGTCCCACCCTTTTGCATCAGTATCTGACATGTGGGCGGGCGGTCAACTGCTTTAGCAATCAGGTTTAATAAAGAAGACCATGTTATTTTTGAAGCCCGACCCCCTCAATCCCTTCTCAGAACTCTGTCTGTATTGGAATGGAAAAACATGTTTCAGTCTATGCTACTGTCTAACTTTGTGACCACTTTTATCCTCAGTGGCTTGTCACAGAAAACCCAATCAAAGAGCAAAACTATAACAAAGTATTCAGTGATCTTAAAGTCGTAGTTTATGATGTTTTCATCAAGGCACCGTAAACAGAAATAAATGTTGCTTGAAACACAGAAGAAATAAACACAAAATCGAACGTATTTCGTGTTAACTGGACTGGAATATCAGAGTTTTCACTCAATTACAGCAGTCATTGCCAGTGTGTACTTCTGTAACTGGAGATCAGCCAGAGTGGCGTGGTAAGGAAAACAGTAAGGACAGACACAGTGCTAAGACTGCTGCATGTTGGATGCACCAAGCTCAACCATTCAAACCATCATATTTCTCTCGCAGTTGAAATGGGAAATGAAGTCATACTGTTAGTACAAGAAAAAAATTTGAAGTTGAAAACTGAAATTTATGCAGAAGAGAAAGGAGCTACTGAGTAACAGAGAACTTTCACACTTAAGTGTTTATATTTTGTGTTATTGAACATATCACAACCAAAGTCAGATTTTTTTTTCTTTTTTTCAGTTGTTGCTTATAGACCTGATGTACATAATCTCACATGCATTCCTTCGTTGTATTCTGGGAATATTGTTGTTTTGTTGTTGGCTTATGCTGTCATAACAATAATTTGTCAAATGTTTTCATCTGAGTAAAAAGAATCATCCAACATAAGAGACTTTAAAGTCATTCAAAAAACAAAATCAAGGCAGGGCCACAGTCGGCTGTCGAGCATCTGGATGATAAGGTCAACTATTATCGCGATGCTTAACAGATGGACTTCTCAGAGACAATAGTGATAGCAGGCTGCGACAATGGCCTCATCTACACCATTAGGCGATCACCTTCATACCAGTACTGATAGAACAGCGGGACTATCCATTAAAAGTGGAATTTGATGTCATTCCCAAGTCTAAGACTCCTGTAAATCGATCTAAGTGGAGTCATGGAAATAAAGTTCAGTGTACTGAAATATGTACAATATCAAGATTTGGAAGTCTGTATGTTCTTTTTAAATAAGATGGAACCATACAGTGCTGGACTGAAACGTCAAAGTAATATTTTAACAACAAAATTAGGAGGTTGTTGACATTTGTTGTAGCAAGGATGCGTTTCAGGTGGTCAGAGAGAGCACCATTGTCATCATTTTGAAATGGAAATGAGAGAAACTAACATTTGCTACTGACAAGCGCAAAGGCTTGGGGCCCTATTTTGGAAGACAGACGCGTGTGCACCCGGCGTAAAAACTGGCACAACATTTGGCAAATTACAGAGCATAATAACGTTTCAATAGCCGGGTTCAGAGGGGGACCCACCTCTCGGAAGGCATCTCCCTGCAGCATTTTCATCTTGTTAAATGGACATTTATATCATTACGACTAACATTTTCTAGTCATATATTGTGTCAAATTTTGCCCACTCGCCATCCGGGTTCAATTCCAACTGCGTCCTCCCTGTGTGGAGTTTGCATGTTCTCCCCGGGCCTGCGTGGGTTTTCTCCGGGTACTCTGGTTTCCTCCCACATTCCAAAAACATGCATTTCAGGCTGATTGAACACTCTAAATTGTCCCTAGGTGTGAATGTGAGCAAGTTGTTTGTCTGTGTGTGCTCTGCGATTGGCTGGCAGCAGGTTCAGGGTATCCCCCGCCTACTGCCCGAAGACACCTGGGATAGGCTCCAGCACCCCCCACGACCCTTGTGAGGATAAGTGGATCAGAAAATGGATGGATGGATGGATGGACATCAAAACAAAGGACAAGTAAAAGTCAAATCCACACTTCGGACAAAGTTGGCAATTTCGAGCTTCACAAATTACAGTATGTCATTAAAATTACTTAAAAGGTAGAGAGGCATAACTGTGACTCACTCTGAAAATACACACACGCTGAGATGGAGGTCTGCTTGGTCGGAAAGGATTTTATCACACCTAAAATTGAATCATCTAGTGTGAAATCTTCAAAATAGCAACAGGTTGCAGACTTCCTAACATTGCTATACAGTGCAACTGAACGTATGGTGTACTCCATTTACTCATATCCAGGTGGCATGAGTAAATACAGTAGTAGTGATACAGTATCTGCATCCCAAGAGACCTCGAGGAAGCATTTTTGAAGACCAATTGGATTTAAGGGATTTAACTTTGTCTGCATCTAATTTATACATTCCTATATCCAATTTCGATCTTTCTTAATTCTCCAAGATTCACGAGATAGAACTGAAGCAAGAAAAAAAAATCCTTTGACAACATTGTGAAAAACTCTGTGTCATAACTTCCACAGTGCCTCACATGTGAAAGAAAAGTAAATATGTGGAAAGGTGGTCACGTCACCATGAGGGGTGGAAGACGATGGCACAAAACATCAAGCAAACTTTTCAGGTAATAGGAGAGTTAATATGAAATAGCTCACCGAATCTCAAGACATGTGGCATCCCATGAGAATATCCCACACATTGTAATAGCAGCAGTAGCAGCCTGCAGCTCGACATCAACTGGGAAATAATCTTCATGTTGCTTGTGCGCCGCACAGTATTGTTACTCCCAGAATCCGTATATTTCCCAGGTGTATGTTTTTCTCTTTCACTCCGGCAGGTTGGTCGACTGCCTCCTTACATCCATAAGGCAAAAAGAAAAAGAAAAACACTGCGTGTCCGGCTCACTGCACCAAGAAGAAAATATAATAGTCCTTGGCTGAAGAAGAAAATGATGGTGATGATGATGATGGAGGAGATGGTGTGGGACCTGAAGGGGAATCCATGCTAGGCAGGGCGCAGTTTGAAAAAATCCATCTGGGGGGAGAGACACAGGCAGCTTTAGGAGAAGGGGGATACTTGGAGCGAGTCAAGCGGCGGTGTGAGCTGCCGCTGCACTGCCGCGCAGCATTTGAAGTGGAGATCGCTAATAGTGGCAGAAGGCATGTCAAGAAAGAAAAGCTCGGGTATATTTCCCGCCTGCCGCTGACCACTCTTCACACTCTCACGCGCACTGTTATAACCTCTATTTGTTTTCTCTCAAATTGTTCGCACGGTTCGCCGAGTCGCCGCTCCAGTCAATGAATTAGACAAGATTGCTATTTGATTGCTGTCGCCAAGCTTTACACTGGAAACCGGTCAGCGGTCGGAATGATGAACAGCCCGCCCGATATCTAACGGCATATTTTCTTTTTGCTCCTTTCACGCTTTCCATGAATAAACCCTCTAATATTTTCAAGGTGCTTTTTTTCAGCTAAAATTGAGTACAGGAGACACAAATGCTAAAGGGGTCATAAGTAGGAGCGCACAAATGAGAAAAGTTACCCAAATTATAAAAGCTGATCTTAGAACTCGATTTTAGAATGCGGTCATGACATTGCCGATTTAGCTATTTTGGGAAGTTGGAAGCTTATCATGACCACGGAAGCCTCGTTGGCCCTATTTATTTATGTGCCCTACAGGTTTACCTATTCGCTGTCAGTATACTTCTTTTGTTGTCTTAACCAGTTGCTACATTTAATTTTTTTTCCCAAAACATGAATGCAAATGATGTGAAGGACACAATATAAATTTCAAATAATTCATTCAACTTATGCAAAACTTTTCATGAGTTGAAAAAAAAAATTATTAAGATATACGTCTAACAAAGTGGAAAATGCCTGTACGCAAAGCCTTGCAGGCTACATTTTAGCTCCACTGTATTTTGTATTATAACAGAAAGGTCAATTACATGGCAGTGTACCCGTGGAGTGTTTAAGATACGCCCAGGTGTATTGTGTGGATAAAGTTTATTTAAAGGTATTGCGCTCGGGAGTTATTGAATTCAGGACTCGTCTCACGTGTACTGTAAAGAACTCGGGTCATTATCTACGGATCATTTATAAAGCAGACCTGCAGGAAGCATTTATACCCACACATTGTCCTTCTACCTTACAAATGAAAAGCGGCAGTAAACGATAAAATGTGTCCAAGTAGCGGTCAGCCAAATACACTGTAGGTCATAATCTGTCAAGAAAAAAAAAATTAACATAAATGTGAAGACTTTTTAGTGACCTACTTCAATATTTTTGTGTGCTGCGCGTGTGCTGAATCCACAACAATCTTTGCGAGAGTCTGACATTATTTCAAAATGCTCCCGTACTTGCAATTATTGTCCCAAAAAAGATAAGCATGTGCTTGAAAAGGTGTGGCACCAGGGATAAAGAAACGACGTGCCCAAACAATGTACAGTACATGTGAAGTTTACAGTATTTGACTTACCTTGGTCAGCGTGAAAGAGTCACCGGAACAGCACAAAGAAGTTGCTTGTTTCTAGATGGGAGAGCAGAGCCGTTTCAGAACCAGTCGCCTCTGGAAAGCAGCGCTTGACCCGGCCGTGGGGAAGACACGCCCCCTGTCGGACGCTGGGATTTAGTGCTTAAAGGACACTTGTTCACCAGAGCGCTGCGCAAACCCGGCGGGTACCAGTGAGTGTGCGGTCCTTTCAGCGATATTACAATATGGTTTGATCTGCTGTGTGGGTCGATCATGACAACTCTTGAATGAATCCCTGTCACATTGCAAACTTGGCTCATCAGCAGCACACGACGTTGTGGGTCCTTTTGTCCATGAAGATGAAAATAAGCAATTAATGGTGACTTGTGTCAAATAATAGTTGAATGATTGTTCCAAAGAATACAACAACCCCTACAGCTATTAAGCACAAACCGGATTCTCTTTTTCTTTTTATCCAAAAAAGTACCGGCAATAGCCTATATCATAAAGGATATTAACTAAGGTAAAATGACAGCCATATATGACTGCAATTGTGAATACCCTTTTGCAATTTTTGCATTATATCCACACACTCATTATCATATCAATTAATCAAAATTATAATGTCAATATTTTTCAGAATGCAAGAGTGATATTAGGGCTAAAAAATGCATACTACATCATGTAACTACAGTATTCACTTAGCGGGGCCTGCAGTGTCCCCTTAATATTGTGGTTAGATAGCCTGTATGTGAATGTTTAATGGAGGAAGTTTAGCATATGCCCTTGGATATTTAGAATTTGTATTATCAATGCAGAAATGCGATAAAATACATTATTTAGCTATCTAAATTCTAAATAGTGTTCCAAATTAGACAATTAAAATGCAGCTACTGGAGTGAGATTTGGGCTTGGGGCCTTAAGAAAAAAAATCACTTCGGACAACATCACTTCAGATGCAAATTAAAAATATTATTAACAGGGTCCCTCTCAGCCAATGCGCCCCCCGAATCAGCCTCACCTTAATCACTCGTATGGCATTGTTGGGGATTAGTTTTGTTTATTTTGGTTATTTGTTAGGAACCAGGTGATATACTGTAAATTAGTAAGAAATTATTATTTGCATTGTTAGTTAATACAAGTTAATTAAAATAATTTGTACACGTTTCATTTTAAAACAAATTTTGTCAACCTAAACAAGTTACTTTGATTAAGGTTATCTTGTTTTATTGTTTTGTGTTCATCAAATAGGGTTTTCCTCTCGGATGCTGACAGAAATATTAATATTGCATTCTTTGGTCTCAAAATGATTTTTAAACTTCGAAAGAACTTTTAAAAAAACGTCCCCAAAATGACATTTATCTCTGTATTTTCTTTATTACAATGGTCAACAGAGAGTTGGAGCAGAAAAACTGTTTAAAATGATTGTATCTTATGCCTATGAAGTGCACATGTAGGACACTCAAAAAGCAGACAGCTTTTGTGAACAAAATGTTAAAATGTTTTCTGTACTTATCAAATACCTTGGTGAAAAAACTGGACCAAATGTGTACCGGTACTATGTGTCTGTATTGGAGTCACTCACACAAGCTCTTCTTTGTAGTGTGCAGCTGCTGGATATTTCTGTTGTTTATGGAGTCAGAAGTCGTAATCAGATTGATTATCAGCTTCACTGCATACAGAGATTGTTTGTAAGAATAAAGATAATTACTATAGAGTTTTAGTTTTTAACAGTTCTTACCAATATCCTCCCTGAAGTGCATACAGGTAAATAACAAAGACTGAGTCCACACACACACACACACACACACACACACACACACACACACACACACACACACACACACACACACACACACACACACACACACACACACACACACACACACACACACACACACACACACACACACACACACACACACACACACACACACACACACACATACACACAGTAACATTCTATTTTGAATGTTTTGAAGAATCAGACAGTTGAAAAGTGTTCATCTCTGTTGTTTGTAGGTTTGATCCACAGTTTTCTGCCAGCATTCGAATTACCCTTGACCTAAGAACTGTCACCCATATGTTTATCTTCAGCCCTTTTGGTCGTGTTAATCCACAAAAGTTAAATCGAGGCAACTGGGGCCTTCTTCGTTGTTATAGAAAATGACCTTTATTGGACCCTTAATACAAAAGGCTTCTTAAATTCAAAATCTTAAGTGCAGAATCCCCTTTGTATATCTCTGGTGGGTGTGGGTCCTGGGAGTGGTCACATGAGTGTTGCTGTTGTTGAATGACCATTTTGTGTTGAACTGTCATTCACCGGCCTGTTCAAACAGCTTGTTGGTGCCCACACTATCAATGGCTGACAATCTCTGGGGTAGGAATGTCAGGATTTATTTCTAAGCTTGACGACAAGTACTGGGGCCAAGCTACTCTGTTTAGAGAGGAACTTTCTCGTTTGCGTTTCTACCTTCTTCTACAACTCTCTCAAATCAGCAACCTTATTGGTCTAATTTTGACAATGTTATCTTCAAAAGAATGACCCGTGTTCCTAGGGCTTGACTCTTGGAGGCTGCCCTCCTATGTTCTGCCATGGGTTTATGTTGGGGTTGTTTGTTTTGCCCACTGAAGAGGTCACTGCATTCCTCACTATACTGCAGTGGATAACCAACATTGCTGAGTTTGCCTCAAGGGATTTTGTCCTTGGGGAAAACCAGCTTTTGTCTCAGGGTGTTGCAGGGTTTAGTCTGAATTGCTTTGAAAAACCAGCCAAGTAAGGGCCTTTTGTTCATTGACCTTCACCACTCAACAAGAGGACTTGAGTTTTAGCATATTCAGCCAATCAATTGAAATAATTAAAAAAAGGACAACAAAGTAAGAGCATCAGACAGCAATAACAACATCAAGCTATACAATTTAAAAGTGAAGGAGAATATCCCTACAGTGATGAAGGAGTGATCTAAAGGCACATTCTGGAGCTGAAATGAAAGGGAGCTTTGATTGCCCCCAGTCTCTCTGATACCCTCCTGTGAGCTGCATGAAAAGTTGAATTGTGAGGTCGACAAATAAAGAGTCAAAGACATCTCTGTAATCCAGCAAGTGCTACTATCTTAGCCATTGGGAAGTGAAGCCCCTGGAACACACAACACACAATATACAGGTGGGGTCTTAATAGAACAACACTTGTGGCTTATTTTAATTAAAAAATATACTTTGCACTGCATGATAAAACCTTATTGCACTGTATCTGTCGCAAATGATTTTAAGATACCCAACAAAGTTTATAATAATCATAATAATAATAATAATAATAACATTAATAATAATAGAGACAGGCAGCATGGTGGACAAATGCTCAACAAAGCAAGTCTGCCTCACATTCTGAGCTTCAGGGATTCAAATATGGATCAGCTCTGACATTCTCGTGAGAATTTTGCAAGTGTGAATGGTTGTCTATATATATGCCCCTCAATTGGCTTGCGACCAGTACAGTGTGTACTCACTGGGAACCAAATCAGGCTCAGAGGTATAAAAAAAGAAAAGAAAAAAATGATAATCATCATATTGGCAGAATTCAATTTACAATTGTTTAGCAAGGCAGTTACACCTGACAAAAACTGCCACATGTATGTCTAATAATAATCAACATACAGCCACACTGTTGGATTTGCACACATAAGAGCCCAAAATATATCAAATCTGTTCTTCTCGGGTGGGTTCCTCCCACAGCACAAAAACATCAGTGGGTCACCAACCTTTTCGGTACGAGATATACTACATTGGCTATACAGATTGATGCAA